GTCAAGTGGGGAAGTTAGAACTAAATCATGAGAGTAGCAGCTATCAGTTTAGCTCTAGGGCTCTCTGTTCTTACCCTGCTGGTCAATCTGGGAGGATTATTTCATTGAAATTTACTTTAGTCTTTGGTATTTTAAATACATTCATTTAAAAAATAAAATAGGGGTGGCACCTGTGGCTCAAGGAGTAGGGCGCTGGTCCCATATACCAGGGGTGGTGGGTTCAAGCCTGGCCCGGCCAAAACCTCAAAAAGGGGAAAAAAATAATAATAAAATAAAATAAAATAAAAGGGGCTGGGCGCCTGTGGCTCAAGCAGCTAAGGCGCCAGCCACATACACCTGAGCTAGCAGGTTCGAATCCAGCCCAGGCCTGCCAAACAACAATGATGGCTGCAACCAAAGAATAGCCGGGCGTTGTGGTGGGCGCCTGTGGTCCCAGCTACTTGGGAGGCTGAGGCAGGAGAATCGCTTGAGCCCAGGAGTTTGAGGTTGCTGTGAGCTGTGACATCACAGCACTCTACTGAGGGTGACAGCTTAAGGCTCTGTCTCAAAATAAATAAATAAACAAATAAATGAAAGCAAAGTTGAACAAAAATGTATAAATAAAAATAAAAGGATTTTTTAGGTAAAATTTGGATTCAGTCAAATGGCCCCACTTAAGGACATGGAAGGCCACATATGACCTTAAGGCTGCAGGTTCCCACCCCCTGGCCTAGCACATAGTAAGCATTCAGTCTGTGATAATTATGAGCATTCTGGGGTTAGAAAATTATCATTATTATTATTTTGTGAGAGAGTCTCACCATGTTGCCCTCGGTACCGTGCGGTGGCATCACAGTTCACAGCAACCTCAAACTCTTGGGCTCAAGCAATTCTCTTGCCTTAGCTTCGCAAGTAGCTGGGACTACAGGTGTCTGCCACAACACCTAGCTATTTTTTTATTGTTGTCGTTGCAGTTGTCATTGTTGTTTAGCAGGCACCAGGCTGGGTTTGAACCCACCAGCCCTGGTGCATGTGGCTGGCACCCTAATCACTGAGCTACGGGTGTCAGGCCAGGTTAGAAAATTAGACATGGTCAGAAGTTCACGTCAAACAATAGTGGTCCTTACTCTTTTGAATGTCTTAGATACATTTCTTTATTTAAAAAAAAGGTTATAATTCACGGACCATACAATTCCCCCATCTGAAGTTTACAACTCAATTATTTTTTAAGATATCCGTAGAGTTGCGCAACCATCACTACAATCTACTTTTAGAATGTTTTCATCAACCCTAAAAGTAACTCCATACTCTTTAGCACCACTGGCCCTTCTTCTCTCCGCCCTCTGCAGCCCCAGGCAGCCCCTGATCTACTTTCTGTCTTAGGAGATTTGCTCTTAGATGCTCTGATGACCTGATGAAAGGAACTTCTACTCTGGAAATAGCCACGAATTATGCATGCAATTTCTAGGAAGTCAGAGACTCCAGATAGAAATGTACAAAGGGAAGCCCTTAATAAACTCAAACCTAGGTTCTTACCAAGTCGAATTTAAGGGGTGAAACTCCCAGGGGCGGTGATGGGGGGAACAGCCGGCGAGGGGGGGAGGGCAGGACCTTGCAGCCCCCATTCCTGTATCTCTGACTCATCTGAGATCTCTGTGCTCCCACACAGTTACTACAAATTTCTACAGATAATCTCCACCATGACTGTCAGGTCCCCCACCCCCAAACTCCATCTTTCACCATTTGTTTCCTCTAGAAGGAGCGGAAACCTAAGAGATTCCAGCCAGCAATCAATGAAGAGCAGTATCACAGAAGATTAGGTTACAGCTACTGAGATAACGGCACTGCTTATTAGGTGCTTACTGTGGCTGAGCACTGTGCTTATAATTCTCTCTTTCAAATTGTGGTTCCAGGGACACCACCTGAATATATTTTGTCTCTGCGCAGCGCCTGGTAAACAGTATAGTAGCATTGTAAAGAAGGCTTTGCAGCCATTTTTGTTTGGTATTATTGCTCTAATCCACTTTGCAGAAGACAAAAACAGAGTATGGAAAGGGAACTTACATTTTAGAGGATACAAAAAAAGCAATATATGGCTAGGCAAGGTGGCTCACTCCTTTAGTTCCGCGTTTTAAGAGGCTGAGGCAGGAGGATTGCTTGAAGCCAGAGTTTGAGACCAGTTTGTGCAACATAGTGAAACTCCTGTCTCTATTAAGAAAAAAAAAAAGAAAGAAAGAAAGAAAAAAAAATAGAAAAATTAGCCCAGCAGGTACTTGGGAAGCTGAGATAGGAGGATTGCTTGAGCCCAGGAGTTTGAGGTTGCAGTGAGCTATAGTGATACCACTGTACTCCAGCTCTGGTGACAAGCAAAAATCCTGTCTCAATAAAAATAAAATGGATATATTGGACGTCATCACAAATCACATCTAATTAAAAACTTTTATGCTCCAAAGGATACCATCAAGAAAGTGTAAAGTCAACCCACAGGATAAGTTAAATATCTGCAATCCATATATCTTATAAAAGACTTGTATCTAGGATATATGAAGAATCTTACAATACAATAATAAAAAAGATACACATACCAGTTTAAAAAAAAGAAGGGACATGAATAAACATTTCTCCAAAGAAGATGTAAACACATGAAAAGCTGCTTCATAGCCATTAGGGGAATGCAGCCAAAAACCTCAAAGAGAACCACTTCACACCCAGTGGAACAGGTGTAATCAAAAACCAGGGAGTGACAAACATTGGTGGGCTTGTCAAATGGTACCATCTTCTGGGAGTATAGCCTGGCAGTTCCTCAAAACGTTAAACACAGAGTTACCATACAACCCAGCAGTTCTCTAACTAGACATTACGTTCAGGACAGTTGAAGACACACATCCCCACAGACCCTGACAGCATTATTCAGAAGAGCCAAAAAATGGAAGCAACCCAAATGTTCTTCAACTGCTGAATGGATAAATAAAATCCATTCTATCCAGACAATGAAATGTTATTCAGTCTTAAAAAGGAATGAAATATGATGTGTGCAACCACATGCATGGACCCGGTAAATGTTATGATTAAGTAAGAGAATCCAGTCACAAATAACCACACATTGTATGATTGTTTACATGAAATGTCCAGAATAGGCAAATTTATGCGACGGTGGCTGCCTGGGGCTTCGGGTAGAAAGAATGAAGAATGGCTACTAATAGGTTTAGGTTTCTTTGGGGTGTGGTAAAAATGTTTTAAAATTAGATAGTGGTGATGGTTGCACAACTCAGTGAATATACTAAAAATCATCAACTAGTACCCATTAGGTGGGTGATTTATATGGCATATGAATATCTTTTATTTATTTATTTATTTTTTTTTTTTAGACAGAGCCTCAAGCTGTCCCCCTGGGTAGAGTGCCATGGCATCACAGATCACAGCAACCTCCAACTCCTGGGCTCAAGCAAGTCTCCTGCCTCAGCCTCCCAAGTAGCTGGGACCACAGGTGCCCACCACAACGCCTGGCTATTTTTTGGTTGCAGCCGCCACTGTTGTTTGGTGGGTCCTGGCTGGATTCGAACCTGCCACCTTAGGTGTATGTGGCTGGCGCCTTAGCCACTTGAGCCACGGGCACTGAGCCGGCATATGAATATCTTAATGAAGCTGTTTCTCTATGTGTGTTTGTTTTTTTAACAAGCATAACGTAGAAAAAAGTAAGGGAAGTTTAAAATCCAAGAGGCTCAACCTTCAAAGTAAGTTTGAAGTGACAGAATACAGAGCAGTGTTTCTATTTTCGGCTTTGATACTCTGACTTCAGTGAGAGCCTAGACTGGCAACACCACAAGAACCACCCTTATGGGTTTGCTTTAAAATGCACTGTGCACTGAGCACACTGAAGATGAGCGTCTGGTTCATGTTCATGTGTATACAGCCTCCAGTGTCCCCAGAGGGTACATACGGTGTAAGCATAAAAGACGTTTTCTACCATGTTCCTCCCAAGTACAACATCTGGGTGCCCAGACTATGAGATCAGACTGCCAGGACTCTTTTGGTCAGTGTGAACTGGGAGAGGCACTAAACCCCAGGTTTCCAATCTGTAAAGGTGTGTGTGTGTGTGGGGGGGTGATAGGAATACTATTTACTTTATGTTATTCTGAAAATTAAAAGGAAATAATGCATGTAAGGTACTTAGCCCAGTGTCTAGCTCACAGTAAATGATCAAATTGTAGTACAGCAGTTATTATTTATAGCAACAGTTAGTGACAGGGAATCGAGATTATTAAAAAATGGCTGAAATCAAGGTTGTAATGTGGCTGAGAACTGAGAACCATATTGGCGTCCTAACAGCGAATGAGGGCTGGGAGCAGGTACAATATTATGTTTCTCAGTTTTGTTAACATTAGGTAACTATATTGGATATGGACTCATGGCATTTGGACAGTTTTCAACATCCATTTCTAGAGAACTCTTTAGAGAGGCTTGCTATAGATAAGACTGTGAAGTGGCATGGGTTACTTTTCAGAGAACAAGACGTGATTCAAGTATTGCTACACAGAGCTGGTATTTTAGGCCATGTTCCTAATCAGTGGTATCTTATGACAGACAGATGACTTTACAAATCATGTCTTTAATTTGAATAAAAGAGTCTCTGGGCAATCTCCTTTCCTCTTTTCTCCTCCTGTGATGTTTATTCCAGTCAATATTTTCCTATTGAGAGTAGCAGGAACTCTATAAAGTATTTTAATATTAAGAAATTGACATTTTAACTTCTTAGGATAAAGGAAACATTAGTGAAAATAATAAATTATAAAATAATGATTGAGATGTGAGAGATTTACCATCTTGAGCTTTATTTGCATTCTTTAAAAATGGATTTAAAACTCTCCTGAATTAACCGAAGTTCTACAAGAGAAAAAAGAGGGAGAAGGAAATTGGAAGGGTTTACAAGACCCTCCCTTTTCCTCCAAATGTTTATGCATAACATTTTTATGGTATCATAATAGGTAAATTCTCTGAGGAGCATAAGTGAACCTCATAAACTCAGAGCCAGGCAATTCCCCTATGTGTAGCTTCTTTTTAAATACTCCTCTTGTAATGATGCTTGGCAGTCATGAAGATCTCTTTGAGGAAACCAGAGCTCTGCAATGCCAGAGAAAAATGATTAAGGACAGGCCTGTCCAGTGGTTACATTATTTAGCCACTTTGTGCTTCCTTTTCCTCACCTTAAAGCAGGAATAATAGTATCTTTCTCATAGAGTTGATGAGGGAGGATTCAGTGAGGTCACACATGGCAAGTACACCCAACACAGAATGAAATACCAAGTTTTAGCTATTAATATGTTGTTGTTGTAGGGGTTGAAGAAAGGTAAAAAGAGCGTTAGCTGATGTTTGGAACATGCAGATATTCACAGCCCTTGGCAAAGAAAAGGGGTTTGTTAAAGTATGGAGTTCTTCCAAATTGCACTTGAGCTATTTTCAAAGAGTGTGGTCAAAAGCCCTTTGTCTTGATAGGAGCCATAGGGAGTCAAAGCCCAAGAAAGAGAAGGTGAGATAAGGGTTTGTGTGGAAGTAGAAAGGAGAGGGATTGAGGCAACCAGAAAATAAGTGACTTTGAGGACTGGGGTAGGATTGGGAAACAAGAAAACCTGGATTAAAGTGCTGGCTGCGACTCTCACAGCGGAGTTAGAAGACTGTGTCAGTGCCTGGCATTAGAACTTACAGAGGGAAGAACTTGGTAAATCTTGACGCCTCTTAAATGGTTTCATCATCTGTGAAAAGAGTGTAATTATTTACCTAACAAGATGTTGTTGAGATTAAGGTCATGCATAATATTTGCTGCATAAGAGGTGCATTTTCAATGTTATCTTGCATTGAGGGAAAAGGTTTTTAAAATTCTATTTAAACATGATGTTACCAAATGTGTTTCAATATGCATTGACACCAGAGTGCTTTAATGAATATTCTCAACTAGAATCAATGCTTTTAATCATTACTAAATTAAATCGCTGGCATATTTTCCTCCTCTCACTGCATCTCCCAGCACACATACACTTAAAACGCTCTAAAAATGTTATTTCTTGGGCTCATTTCACAAATAACAAATACTACAGCCATCTAACTTAAGCCTGGCTTTCCCGACACGAATGGACAATTAACTGAAACGATTTTACAAAGTGTCTCTACAAGAAGGGCTTTCTGGAGGCCGGACCAGTGTCCAGTGCTGCGCTGTCAGGAGCTAAGAACTCTTAAAGCACCCAGAACAAGCCAGCAAGAAAGCCCGGGAAAGGCGCGCGACAGCCCCATGTGACTGTGCGACTTGTCTTTCTGACTAGTTCGTGTCCCTGAGAAAGGAAGCGCACGCCGCCTCCCATTCACAGAAGAGCCTCGATCCATAACAGAGGGCGAAAGAGGGGTTCTCCAGCCACTGGGCAGCTAGGGACCTGGCACAGACCGGGTGCTGCCCACCTCGGCGACACCTCCACCCCCGGAAGTTTGCGCACCTCCAGATGGAAGCGCTGGGAGTCACCTTGACCCTTGCGGAGAGGTGGCGAAAGTTAGCCCTGTGCCGGAGGCGGGGTGAGCGAAAGCAAACACAGAACACTTTCGCGAACAAAATATGCCACAGCGTTTTCCGGGTTTCAGGTTACCGAAGACCCGGCGTGTGTATGGGCAGCCAGAGCAGGTGGCGGGGCTCCGCCCACCACCACGCTTCCCCTACTTCGGCACGCACGCTTCGCTCCCTCCGTGAGGTCCCGCCTCCTAGGCGAGCGCGAAGAGCTCCTGCGCGATGCATTCTGGGAGTTGTAGTCCCGTTGCGGGCACCCACCTCAGGAGAAATCCCTCTGGCCTACATGCCCCAGGGTGCCGTGCGGCGCTGGCCGCTCCCGGATGTGTGCCTGGCGCCGGAAGAGAAGACGGCCCCCCTCTCTCAGCCCGGCCATCTTGTGGGAAGAGCTGAAGCAGGCGCTCTTGGCTCGGCGCGGCCCGCTGCAATCCGTGGAGGAACGCGCCGCCGAGCCACCATCATGCCTGGTCACTTACAGGAAGGCTTCGGCTGCGTGGTCACCAACCGATTCGACCAGTTATTTGACGACGAATCGGACCCCTTTGAGGTGCTGAAGGCAGCGGAGAACAAGAAAAAAGAAGCCGGCGGGGGCGGTGTTGGGGGCCCTGGGGCCAAGAGCGCAGCTCAGGCCGCGGCCCAGACCAACTCCAACGCGGCGGGCAAACAGCTGCGTAAAGAGTCTCAGAAGGACCGCAAGAACCCGCTGCCCCCCAGCGTCGGCGTGGGTGACAAGAAAGAGGAGACGCAGCCGCCCGTGGCGCTCAAGAAAGAAGGTGAATCTGGGGAGGAGGAGGGGGCGCGGGGGGCTTGCAGACGCCGCTCGTTCCGGAGCGCTTTGCCGCCCATTCGCTCGCGTTTCTCCCACGCGACAGGAGCTGGGTCCTGCAGACGGGCCGGAGCGCGGCCGCCCGAGTTCGGCTCCCGCCGGCAGGTCCCGGAGCCGCCCCCTTCCCGCCGGGGCTGGGCGGGCCGCGCACGGACCGGGCTGCGGGGACGGCAGCCGGGGTCCCGCAGCGTCCTGCTGCGCGAGAGCCTCCTCGGCGCGCCCCGCGGGCTGCTGTCGCCGGCTCCGGGCTCCGTCCTGCCATCTTGTCCCACCACAGCGTGGGGCGCCCGCGTCGGGAAGCGCGGAGTCGGGCGAGGCGCGACGCGGGGCCGCACGTGCTCCGGCGCCCTCCCCGCCCCTCAGCGGCGCGGCCCGGAGCCCGGGGAGTGCGTGCGGCCGGGGCGGGGGGCGGGAGCGGCGCGGGCCGGGCTGTGCGGACGGACGGCATGAGCACGGCCCGCGCCTGCCCGACGCCGGGGCTCGCTGTGCCGCCCGGGTGTCACGTCGGTCTCCGGAGCCCGGAGAGTCTGCAGCTTGTTTCCCACGTGTGCGTGAAGCGCGGTCAGGCTTTCACTGGCGGTTTAGAGGCGCCTCGGAGGCGCTGTGACTTTCACAGGATTATCTGGAATTGTGCATCCTTACTGCTGGCTCGTGGTGGTCGAAAATGAGCGAAAGAGTTGGTAAGAAAAAGCTTTCGCGGTCAATAGCAAGGAGGTGCAGGGCCTGAGCGCTGAGCCTTTAAAGTTGGGTTTACCTGTGTTGAAAGTTGAAATTACTCCGTGCTGCCACGTGCTCCTGAAAGGAGTTCTCATTAAGTTGTAGCTGAATTCTAAACAATTTTCCTGTATTAGGTTTTGCTTTAGGCATTGTTTTGAAAACTTTGGAGACTTGAGATGAATCTAGGATCTGATCTTGGTGGTTAAAAACAAAACAATTTTATCGTTAAAATTACAGGCTGGGGGAAAGCACAGTTGAAGTTTTAGGATGCGTGTATACATATATCACTTAGGCCAAATATCTGTTCAGCCAGTTAAACTTTATAGCACCTTAGTACAATAGAATACATCGTTTGATTTCTGTGTTAAAGAACATTGGTTTTTGTAATTATTTAAACCAAGGAGGTAAAGTCACACAAAGTTTAAATAAATTTAAGATTAAATCTAAAACATACTAGATAGATGTATTCACTCGTTTCGCATGTTCAAAGCATGACACGTGGTTTAAATGCCTCAGTTTAATGAAGCCCATCTATGAAATAAGTTCATACCTGGAAACTGGTATTTTAAGTTACAAACTTGGGGAATTATTTCATAAACTTAAAACCAGGACTAATTTCACTATTATTCACTTGGGAAAAGTATTCCTAACATTTTCCTTAGGTTAGTATTAGAACACTGAACCTTAAGATGCATAAAGCCCAGGCTTTGAATATTGGTAAAATGTTCAATGAAAAATAGTCCTTTTTGAGATCTCCCCACCTGTCAGTCGATGTGCCCTGGGGATAGATCTGTAAACAAAGGCCTTGCTGGTTATATAGTAGGATTGTTAGACTGTGTGTCCTGTGATTTTGATGATGATCAAAAAATGCTAGACATAACTTGAGATAATTGATGTTTGTTATGTTAATACATTATGTGGATTATTTTTTGTCCATTTGAAAAACTTGAAAATTGACAGCAGAATGCTTAACTATTAGACCAGGGTAGGTTTTTTTCTTTTAAATAATAGAAGTCTAAAATCTAGGACAGTTAGTGAACTTGCACATTTTATATGTAAGTATATCCAAAAAAGCATGTAGTTCTTTTATATCAGTCATTTTTTCATAAGGTGAATTTATTTAGTAGGTTTTTAGATTCTGCAAGCCTAATATTGAATATTGGGTGGGGAAGCAAACCATTGTTCATTTGGGTGTGTTTGGCTTGGATATCATTATAAGGACTGGTTCCATGGCTACATCCCAATAAGTTAAATACTTTGATGAAATTAATTTAAATACCTTGCTGTAAGGTCTACCATGTGGTCTATCTGGAGAGTTCACAGGGAGTGAATCTTAAATTTTATTGAAGAGATTGTTGCTTACTGTTTGGCTCTGGTTACAGGCATCTGAACAATTGGGTGTGTCCTGATGGTGTTCACTTTCTTAGAAAGAACCAAAGTGAAGCAATTTAGGGACTGTCAGAAATTAGGAATTACAGCATACCTACAGTCTTAACAGTCATAAATTTAACATAATAATTCTGAAGGCCACCAGTAATTCGTATTGGTTGCCTCTGTGGGCATCAGGCAGATCTCTAAATGTTTCAGCTATCACTTAGTTGCTTAAAGGGGTCTTTTGTGTGTGTGTCTGGCTTTAAAAGGTCCCCTAAAAACAAAGATGCTTGTAAGGGCAAATCTTTAAAACATCTGTTTCTATCCAAATTAATAACTGACCTATTTCCTAGTGGCTACATAATGATGTTTTTAAAAGTTAGGTTGGGGAGCATGTATGTGCACACATACCCTTGTTTAAAATACCATTGTATTTTAAAACAATGATGAAGAAGACACTTTTTTCTGGTTAAATAGCTATTCTGAACTAGCAGCATGTTTTCTAGTGATCCTGAATGCCACCTTTCTCCTTTCAGATTTGTAGTTTTATAGAATTATGAGTCTGTGGCCTTTTTTCAGATTACATAGACTAAAATAATGTGACCGTTTTGTTTGACCATATCTAGGGTGTTGATTTGCTTGATAATTTATGAATGGCTACTGGTATTGCTTTCTTTGGTATCTTTAAAACCAAAATCTATCACTTGCCTAAATTGCTTTAGACTTAAAATATATATATATATATTTTTTTTGAGACAGAGCCTCAAGCTGTCCCCCTGGGTAGAGTGCTGTGGCATTACAGCTCACAGCAACCTCCAACTCCTGGGCTCAAGCGAGTCTCCTGCCTCAGCCTCCCAAGTAGCTGGTACCACAGGTGCCTGCCACAACGCCCGGCTATTTTTTGGTTGCAGCCATCACCGTTGTTTGGCGGGTCCGGGCTGGGGATTCGAACCCACCACCTTAGGTGTACGTGGCTGGTGCCTTAGCCGGTTGAGCTATAGGCGCCGAGCCTAGACTTAAAATTTTTTTTAGTAAGAGATTGACATCTTGAAAAGTAAGAGGAATAATGGCTACCCAGATGACTTCTAAGTCACTTGCAGAAAAGCTTCAGGAGGGGATAACTTGGCAAACTATAAACTAAGTTTCTTAAAGGACTTTATTATATGTCATAGGTACCCTATATATATAAATATACCTTTTTCAATAGCTAATGGACTGAAATAGTAGCAGACCCCCCCCCCCTTTTTTTTTGGTAGTCTAGGCCTGCACGATTCTTGATGTGGCAATAATTTGCTTATGCAGCCCACTTATCATTTTAGGAATAAGACGTGTTGGAAGAAGACCTGATCAACAACTTCAGGGTGAAGGAAAAATTATTGATAGAAGACCAGAAAGGCGACCACCTCGTGAACGAAGATTTGAAAAGCCACTTGAAGAAAAGGGTGAAGGAGGCGAATTTTCAGTTGATAGGTAAAGATGTTTAAAATAAAGAAAATATTTGTCATGTTTTATCAGCTTAATAGAGTCACTTCTTAATTAGGAACTATAAATTGGGCATAATTGTAGGTGGCAGTGTGGCTAATTCTGTTATCTTTTCAGAGATAAATATATGAATTTGTGTATTGTTATACAAACCTTTAGGTAACAGTTCAGACTTAGATAACACTTGAATTGGTAGTTGGCCCATTTCTTTTCCTTGCTGACTCTGTCCTCAGAGGTTGAATTAAAAGGAATATACTATGGTTTAATTGTTTATAGTAATATAGTAAAGCAGATTATTCCTCATGCAGGTTAGATGTGTTTGTTTCAATTTTTAAGTGTACTAGTAAATACTAGTTTTAATTGAATTACAATGTGTGATGAATAATAATGGAAAAAATAAAATATATAGGCAATAATGTTTTAGGGGAATGCCAAAATAATATTCTTGTTTTGAGAGGCTTCCAAGTTCTAGTTTTCTTTATTCTTAGAAATAGACTGTTTTGAATTTTCTAAAGCACATTTGGGTTATGAGCCAGTAAACATGATCAATATTATTGTTCCTTTGAATGGATTTCCCTTACTCCCTTTTCTGGAAACCCTG